GGACATCGTTCTCAAAAGTGACCGGACTGGCCATAGTTAACGCAGGCATGAAGAATAGTAGAGACATTGTTGGCCATTACAGCAAGCCACGCACGAACGCAGGTGTAGCGACTGTATGAAACGAAATAGTAGAGACGTTGTTGGCCATTACAGCAAGCCACGTACGAACGCAGGTCTAGCGACCCTTGTATAAAACGAATCCGCTCGGGCGTAGTATTAAGTCTACGTAGGTTACCCCTTGAGATAAAGAGTCAATGGATCGAAAGCAGCGCGGTAAGATGCGAGAGCCACAAAAAAAAAAAAAGGAAAAAAAAAAAAAAAAAGACTCGAGAGGCACAGTAAGAAGGGAGCAATGAGAAGATATATCTCTTTACTTCCGACTACAGTGGACCTCAGCTAATGCCCCCACCACGGACCGATGAAAATTCGGGGAGGGATGTGGTAGAAGTGGGATGTGCGGCGCTTGGGAGCAGATTTGAAGCACGATCTACACGTTCGAATACAAATACATAGCACTGATAGCAGCAAAGGCTTCGTGAGCCCACAGGCCATGCTCTACAGCTCACCATAACGGGAATAGAGCCGGAACAGGGGCTCAATGTACAGTCATAATTTGTAGGTTTTCCACGCCGCACTCTTTACCTTTCTGAAGCTGTATATTTGTTTAGCTTAGGCTTTGTCGCGACACATCTTTTATCGCAGGTTTTATCGTTTTCTGAAGCTGTAGATTCAGTTAGTTTAGGCTCTTAACTCTTTTCTCTTTTTTTCCCTTCCCCCCCCCCTTCCCGATTGTAGCTCTGTTGAGTTGTGTGTCTTCCTTGTTCTCAGGACCACATTTGTGTTGAGCTGAGAATGCCTGTGAGAAATTTCTAGTGCTGGTGAAAGGGTCGCTTAAAGTGGGATATAAAACCAGTGTAGGCAAACTGGAAGTGTATATTCCCGGAACTCCACAAGCTCTTACGAACCTTTGCTTCACATCTCTATCATGTAAGGTTGTTCTTCACAAACTTGACAAATCGCGTCTCTTCGACCCTCGACAAAGCCAAAATCAACATGGAAACTCCCCGTCGAAGACTCACCGGCGAGGCGATCGTAAGAGCTTCCGCTCTTCAAATGACAAAAATGGCAACCGGCGAACCCTGTGGAAGACTTCGTCAGATCGAGTGGATCCGGGTTTCAAAAGACTCTTCTATGTAGGATATGCTGATGATTTTGTTATTAACTTATTATCTTAACAGCTGGATCCAGAGCAGATCTTCATATGGGACCGATTCCCAGCGCGTCCTGCTCCCCACAAATAGATTGGAGCATGTCTTCAAAAGCTGTAGATTCATTTTTTTCCGGAACTGTAGCTCCGTTTAGTTGTGTTTCTTTCTTGTTCTCGGGACCACATCACAATTGTGGGGGAGTGTGTGTTGAGCTGAACGTTCACATTTACATGTCAAACAGCTGCGAGGAAGTGAGCTTGAATCCAAAAACGGAATATGTTTTCGAGTCGCGATTGTGGCAAGATATATCCATGAAAGTGCGGGCGTGATATGTTTACGAGTCGCGATTGTGCCAAAGATATATCAATGAAAGTGCGGGCGTGACCCTGAGACTTCTTCTCTCTGCAGGATTCAAGCTCATGTCTGGCTGTGAGCAGGCGACATGAGACCGGTTGTTCTTGTTTTTCGTATTTTCCTTTTTTTTTCCAGGTTTTTTTTCCAACCCACACGGCATTGTCCACCTGCACTGCACCTTTAACGGAATTTGCCTTGAAGTTTCTTCCTTGCTTCTGCAGGACTCCAGCTCGCATCTGGCTATCAACACTTGACGAGCACCCTTCAGGTCCATTCAGCCACATGGGCTGGACTTTTTTTTTCTTTTGTGTGCATTGTTTTTCTGTGTCTTTTTTGCCATATTTGGGTCTTCTTTTTTTCGCATGCGGCCACCCGCACTGCGCCGTGCCTGCTAGCCCACATAATGCCATCTGGTCCACATGCTAGGACCGGTGTAGGCGTAATGAAAATGTAGATAGTTGTATCAATTTGACCGGAAACCGGGTGAACTAGCCATGAGCAGAGCGAACCCGCGTATGTGGCAAAATACGGGGATGACTTGTGGCTAGGGGTAAAGAAAGAAAATAGATAAATAGCACATAAATAGAGGTAAAAACAATCCGGAGTAAGAATCAATTGTCCGAGTATTGATTCTTCTGCGTATTTTACGGGGGCCACATCATACTCCTACACATTCAATCAAGGTTGTCAATGCAAAAAGATATAGTAAAGCTGGACGGGGTTTTACCGTCCAGCCGCTGGTACTCCGCATCTTCACGGAGAATTCAATTTCACTGAGCCCATGTTGGAGACAGCGGTGCCTACACCGTACCACCCGGCCCACATACTACGACTTCCCCGCCATGCTGCTGCTGAACACACGTCCCACATCTTACCACTTGGTCCACATGTTATGAATGACCTGCCCCACATGATGGGCCTCTAAGAGGTTGGGGGATGCTTCGCACATCCCACATCGTACCGTCTAGTCCACATGTTATGAATGACCTGCCCCACACGGTACCACCCGAACCCTATACTATCACTCAGGCCAGATAATAATAGATCGGCACATGTAATGCTGCCCGCCTTGCCATTGCGAAGTCCGAGGTGTGCCTGATCTTGGTGGGTGTGCACACACATCAGATTGATATCGGTATCGCAAAGCTCACATCACGAGGTCAGCCAAATGGCCTCGACATGCAGCAAAACAACCATGACAACCATGGCTCAGAGATGACCACGTATGTGTTGGTGTCGTCCAATCCACATGGTGCACCAGCATGGTCTCGCATGGTCGAACAGTACCATCCAACCCACGTTACATCACGCACATCTAACAACCGTGGCCCACATACTATCCCCCACGTTCCATGATACTGACCAACCCGCATTGCACTGCCTGCCTATGCCAAGGGCCGAGTTGCGGCCAACTTTGGTCGTGTTTTTTTTTTTGGCCTGTGTGCCGAGCCATTTTCTTTCCTCCCTTTCTTTTATCTGTGTGCCGCGGTTATAGTCGCCACGGGCATCCAACTCAACCAATTGTATGTATAGAAAGCAAGGATAACAGAGGACGAACTGCATAAAGACAGAACTGCATGATGCCATGGCCATATAACAGTTTTGCTGCGAGGAGTTGTTACGGTGACACTTGGCATGTTGAAGGAACTTAATTCATCTGGGTGGAAAAGGAGTTGTTTCGGTGACAGTTGGCATGTTGAAGAAAGTAAGGTCAAGCAGTCTTTCACTCCGTATTCAATTTTCTATGGTGGCAATTTTCAACACCCACCCACCAACTTGAACCACCTATCCCCCCGCGCATGCATCCACCTACGGGCCCATGCAAGCACGCGCGCGTGCACACACACACACACACACAGAGGGATGTGGGAATGTTGCACTCAAAGCCTCAAACCACAAAGTAAAGACTCTAAAGAGATGGTTAAGAAACCGAAATAATGGATCCATTACGCTCCTTGTTGTTTGCTATAGACGTAAACTGTTCATTGCCGGACTAGCTCTACGTCGCTTTGATTTTGGATCTACTCGTCTCCGTGGAACAGGGGATATTGTGGTGCAAATCTAGAACACACACACAACAATAATGGATCCATTATGCTCCTTGTTGTTCGCTATAGACGTAAACTGTTCCATTTCCACATCCTCTCTTGAATGTCTAACTGCAGCACCTTCAAGATGTGCCAAATAGTCAGTGCAAGCCTGTCACAAGAGCCTGCAACAATGCCAGAGGGGCTGCTGCATTCAGGACGCCTGTATTCCTGTATTTCTAGGTGGGGACACACATTCGGCTTCTGATTGCTTAGCTCTTGATGCCGGTGCCAACCTACACTCTTGCATAATTTTCCATATGATGCGAGTACGTGACATTTGGCTTATGATTGCTTCAGCCCTTGATGCTGTTGTCAAGACCTACAGTCTGCACAATTTTCAATATGACGCGCTACCTTAAACCACCAGTCCTGCTACCGGGAACAGCCTCCTCTGTGGGCTAGGACGTGTCCTAAGCGTGATCTGGAAGGAAGCTCGCGAGGACAGAGGAAGAATACTTGTGGACAGGTCTTCAGACCTTCGTTTAGCTACGGATATCCTCGGGAAAATCGAGAGCCTCCTAGAAGCAGCACTGTCACAGGCAGTGCCTGGGAAGAACCGCAGCTTTGAGTCTCGGACGCTCGCAATTTGATTTCGCAATTTGAAGTTTTGAAACTGTTTTGGGGTTTGGCGGAACGAGGGCCCAGCCAGACAGATGATAGCACCGTACAAAGTTTTATGCTCCTTTTATTTTATTTTCGCCTCTGACTTCAGTTGCAGTCAGAGGCAAAAATAAAATAAAAGGATCATTAAACTTAGCCTCCTAGAAGCGGTATTGTCACAGGCAGTGCCTGGGAAGTACTGCAACTTCGAGTCTCAGACATCCGAAGTGTGATCTCCCATTTTGAAGTTTGCAACCACGTTGGGGATTGGACGACATGAAGCCCCGACCGCACGCACGATAGCACCATACAATGTTTTTATCTTTTATTTTATTTTATTTTATTTTGAAATGGTACGCGGGGATGGTTGTTCCAAATTTCAAGCTTTTCACTAGCAGATATGAGAGGCAAGGCCCATGGCCTCTCTTTCGGCAGAAGTACTCGTGAGAGAGAGAGAGAGAGAGAGAGAGAGAGAGAGAGAGAGAGAGAGAGAGAGAGAGAGAGAGAGAGAGAGAGAGATGTGCCTGCCCAGCCCACCCCACCCCCTAATAGGAGCATCACCCTTTTGATAACCCGTATTCTTGCAATTAGGGCACACACTCCATCATGGAGTTCACATCACTCCGACGTTTTTCAAGATGCCATAACAAAACGACATCGGCACACTGCACCAGCACACGGCACGAATTGCATCCGTATGCTGCGCAAATCCCATTGCCACACAAATTCTCACCTTCTCCAATCCCCCACAGCCAAAAGAATTTTATCATATTAGTGACAGTGACACCTTTGCTGTGGTCAGATATTAGACAGACAAATCGGTTAACTTCCAAACAAGTCCAAACAAGTCGAATACCAAAATATTAACACAATGGACTTCCCTGCACCTGTACTCTTCCCTCCGATTCCGTAAATCACACCCCACCGACGCTTTTTCTTTCAACTCTTCCTCGCACCCCAGTTATGAATGTTGTGAAGAATGCTGACCCATTTTCCCGGCACGACAGTTGCAAATATGTTCATCGTAACTTCACAGACATTTCCGGCTGTACCGAGTTTCCCCCTTAAAGCACCAGCACATGGTCACAGATAAGTTGGAAGTCCAATCGAGTCTCTCCTAGAAATTCGGAGGCTTGCTTCCCGTCTATAGAATAACTCGATGGCGTGCATCCTCAGAAAGCGGTCCGCAGGCGATGGCTGCCATGTACTGGTCATTTAACGACGCAAGGAACCCTTCTACTCGAACTGTGTTTAGGAGATATCGCTGTCACTCGGCCTTGTCATACTGCCATAGACACTAATGAGGTTGGTGTCACATGCAAAAGGTTGTAAAGAGGGGTGAATGAGAGGGCGAAAAGGAGATGAAATGTAGGGGTGGACCGAAGAACTCGTAACAAAGTACGCACAGAACGACAACAATGTGATTGACAAGATGGGAACAGGGGAAGAAGCGGACGAGGTTGGGGGCAATTAAGAGGAAACAGAGCAGGTAGTACGCGCAGAACGACAACAATGCGATTGACAAGATGGGAACAGGGGAAGAAGCGGACGAGGGAGGTTGGGGGCAATTAAGAGGAAACAGAGCAGGTGTGGCCACCGTCCAGTGATCATCTGTAACAAAGTGAAAGCCATCAGAAGATTCAGAACTTATAAAAGTGAAAGCCGATTCATGCAACACTGCAAATGCTGCTGCTGATATGACATCCTGACCCCAAGGCTTTCAGAACTTATAGACAAAGTGAAAGTGATTCATGCAACACTGCAAATGCTGCTGCTGATATGACATCCTGGCCCCAAGGCTTGGAACAAAAAACACTCCAGAAGAGCAACACTCCAGAACAGCAACACAATGCTAAAAAGTTACAAGTAGTAAACACTCGTGCCNAGCAACACAATGCTAAAAAGTTACAAGTAGTAAACACTCGTGCCACCAAGAGACGGAAAGAATCAAAATACTTTTTTTTTTCTATTTCTTTTCAGCAGCATAGTTCAACAACACAGTACCATTAGGCTGACATTCCTGTGACGTTGCCCCTACCATACAGACGAAGTGCTCAAAACTAGGGCACAACCATGGTTATGCCCAACCTGGACGCCAGACCGATGCAGACGTCTGACCATACTACCTATGATTTGGACTGATCTAAGAAAAAAATACTACTCAAAACCACCAATACTTTTCTCCTGGGCTGGAAATGCCCTGTGCACCAAAAGAGAATGGAGCGCAGGCCTCCTTTTCACTAGTGCCACCAGCCACATTGCTCTGGGGGCAGAGCCCCCAAAAATTGCAGCAGCATGCGAGCCGCTACTCTGAAAAAAATAGCTGGCAAACGTACTCGTGGTTCAATGATCCGATGGCTATTCTGGTATTACATGCCTGGTGCCACCTAAGACATACTATTCATTAACTGAACGGTGCTGCGTGCATATATCATTTCTCTTAGTAGTCAAAACCATGTCCAATGCCGAATACCGCTGCCAACCCATGAACACAACATGAGCAAAACAAGGGACTCTTTGGAAAGAGGAAGAGTTGGGTAATATAACCCATCCATGATAAGATCACATCATCACACTCGACAACACATTCACCATTTCGAAAGCCGAAACACTGAGGGTTATTCAAATGCCGGGAGCATTCGACAGCCCCCAGTAGCCCTCCTCTAGCATACAGTACAAATCCAACCCCTCAACCAGTAGTTTCGACATTCAAGAAGTTCAACTCCAAACCTGCAAAGCAATCCAATCAGCTGGCCATGTCCATACAACAACCTTTCTCGCAAAACTCAACGTTATTTCCTAGACCTGGGTGGCCACGCCCCAACACATTGCAGATTCCCTATGCCATTTGCAGTGACCATACTGGTGCCGCACAACAGGTAGTGGGGGCCCATCCATTCGTGGTGGGACAACTTCCTCGGGACGACCATCGGGCAAAGTACCGACATATATGAATACAGTACGTATACACACACAGTGTCATATGCATTTATATATATAGATATTACTAAGATACATATATAGTACTATATACATAGTGTCGGACACATGTATACACCATAAGCACCGTACCCTAAGTATATGTTTGTTCTGTTGTTTGTTTTTCTTATGTATGCGACTTTAGGCAAGCGAGTTGACACCATGGCCCTTGCACTACCACAGACCCAGAACTTATAGACTACTAGGAAAAACTGCAATGGCAGACAACTGACCTTCCTCCTGCAAGATCCATCCTGCCCATAGCCGTCCCCGATGAAGACACGAGGAGGGACAAACCGGATAGAACGCCCGGCCATTATAGCTGTATTTGGCACAACTTCACTCCAGATGCTGCAATAATGACCGCGCGTTCTAGTCAGACGAAGACGGTAGGCAACAGACAACCTCAAAAGGCTCTCCAGTCAAGAATGCAGGTTGCAGTACAGGTCAGGCGACAGATGGAGAGGAGGTGCCAAACGACTCCGTCAATATGAGCTCTTGGGAGTCGTCCGCTTGTTATCCCCGGCGTACCTTCGATCCGTCGAGCGAGAGCCCTTCCACACGGGGCCCCTGGATCACTATGGCCGACTTTCGTCTCTGTTCGACTTGAAGACTCACAATCAGGCCCCCGGATCACTATGGCAACAGACAACCTTGAAAGGCTCTCCCAGTCAAGAATGCAGGTTGCAGTACAGGTCAGGTCACAGACAATAGACAAGGTTGAAAGGCACATCCTGGCCCCAGACCCCCGCAAGGAAGCCACTTAACACCCTCAGGTGTTTCAACTTTCAACTACCCGTCAGCCGTGCGATTCACAAGAAACCCCCGTTCAACTGCCCAACACAACACACACTAAGCAAGCGCATTGTACCCTTCCAATCGAGTGCCACCTCCCACAGTAGACACTGTTGAAAGGCTCTCCAGTTAAGAATGCAGGTTGCAGTACAGGTCAGGCCACACGACAGTCAAGTGTTTCAACTACCGGTCAGTAGAGTGCAATGCACAAGAACCCCCCGTTCAGCCACCCAACACACAACTGAGGCGAGTGCATTGTACCCTCTTTCAAACAAGGGTCACCTCCCAGAGTAGAGCCTGCAGAAATTATTGGCAACCTCTAAACACCATCCCCTCCGAGGTACCCTTCCAAACAAAGGTCGCCTTCCAGAGTAGACCCTGCAGAAATTATTGGCACCCCCTAAACCCTACCCCCTACAGAGCATCGTACCCTTCCCATTGAGGATGGATCGACTCGATGCTGATTGCATGCATCCCCGCTGTGCCATACCCATCCATTCGCGCCAGGGAGGACAGTGGACACCAACCAATACTCTTGATGCAAGTCACAAGCAAGCATGCCCTGGTAAGAGAGGTGGGCGCTCAAATTGGAGATTTTCAGTGCCATGCTCCTAACATATCCGATGGGCGAACCTGAGTAAGTTTTCCACACTGCCAGTTGCTCAAGGAGCAGAGGTTGCAATTGCAAGTATGTGCCACATAGTAGTCGATGCATGCTCAACACATTTGCCTCCCGTTCGACGAAAATCATTCGACTTCTCATTGATGAATCCAGCATCTTCGATGAAAACAGCATTGAACGAGAATGCTGCATTGCAGTCGCGGACCATTTTTCAAAGAAGAAGCCAAGATACATACCACTTCAAGACTGCAGCCCGCCATGGAGGACAAGTTGTGAGGAACACACCCACCACCACCCTCCTTCCTTTTGCTCCCACGTGGAGGGGCTTATCCGCCAGCTTCCTTTTGCTCCCATGTGGCAGAGCTTACCGCGGATGATGCAGAGTCTCCACCCACCGCCAACCATCTAGTGTGGAATGCACATTTGTCATCGTTCTCGACAACAGAGAACTTTCTAAAGAACCTAAGATATCTGAGACTTTCAAGAACATAGGAAATGGAACACGGACTTTCAAGAAGAACAGAGTAAATGCAAATGGGATCCGGAGCGTCCTACAGAACCTGAGAGTTTCAGCGAATAGAGAAAATCCAGAACTCTGCCCGATCCGAAGCTCACAGAGAACAAAGAAGACCTTGGGCTACCCGGGACTCTGGCAGAGTTCGAATGGCAGCTGACAATAGAGCTTCAGAGAGCTAATCGGGAAGTCGACGCGAACAGCAGAGGGTTTTCCTTGTGCCTTCCACATCATACAAACGACGTGGAGGAAAGGATAAGGCGAAATTTCCTACTCGGGAAGTCGAAGCAAACAGCAGAGAAATCAGACACCCTCTCCTTGCATCACACACCCTCTCCTCCTATGCCTTTGGAAAACCCTTACGTCAGCCAAGAAAACAAACAATGGTACTGAGCAACCACCATTGTCGGATACAAGCTACGTCACAGCGGTTACGCATGGACAGGAGAAATCAGACAATGGACTGGCAATGGCGCCCATGTCCCTCCTTAATGATACAAGGCACAGAAGAACACCACACCTCCATGTGCACATAGTTGAATCGAAAAGCATCCTCAAGCAGCAGCCATTGTAGACGCTTTCTTCTCACAAAATTCCACTATCGCCTTTGTAGTCAAACTCTTTGGCCGCTCGATTGGCAGCCCGAGGGCCCGATCCCAGACAAGCTGCAAGAGCACACACGCACACACGCAATAAAATTTGTCAACTAGCCGCAAGAGCACACACCCACATACACACAAAATAAAATTTATTAACAAGCTGCAAGAGCGCGCCTGCCGTACTACCGGTAGACCAGCCATATAGCCTGAGAATGTCCCAAAAAGAATGTCCCGTGATATTGGTGGACCCTGAGAACAGTCCACAAAGCATCAGTAATGTACTTGTGCATACAATTGCCTACACTTCTGTCTCCCCTATTCCCCCAATTTTTTTCGCATTCTCCTTTCCCTCTTTCTGTGACTGAGGTCATACACATCCCATCTTAACACCTGGCTATCAGCCGGCCAGCCTAGGCTGGCTAGCAGCCGGGAAGCCTGGGCAACGTCTGCTCCTCTGCTTGGGAGTCACATGGAAGCATGATGGCCAGTTCATCCCCTGACAAGGTGGGGTGGGGGAGGCTGATTGCAAAATCAAAGAAAGCAAAACTTCAATGAGCAGGCAAAGTGCTGTGTACCCCAGTGCAATTGCAAGTGGTGGGCAGACCCAGTGCAAAATTAAAAGAAAAAGAGGAAAGAAAGCTTAAAAGAAATGGACACAGGAAGAAAACAGCCAGGTCCAGGGAAAATGCTGGGCACCCCAGCGCAAAATCAAGAAAGATTACACAACTGGTACACCTTTCCCGGCCATTTTGCAGAGATGCCCCGTGTGCATGCAGGCACGTCGGGCAGGATATACCGAGGTGTCATTTCGCCGGAGTTCCATGCAGACAAAACGGGTAGCGTAAGAAACCCGATTTGCTTGGACGGATTCCGGCAAAACAACTGCAAAATGGCTGGGAAACGTACTTTACTGGTGGTTAAGAGAAAATGAAAACATAATAGAAAGTTGAGTCTAGACCAGCAATACAAACTTCTGGCCAAGGGTAACTTTAACATTCCTTGAAATAGACAAAAATAAATTGAGACATCTCTGAAAACTATGTTCCTCCTCCTTCCCCCACCACTCTGGTAGCCTGGACAGTGGACATGATATGTACAGACAAAAATTGTACAAATACCACGGCTGGTCGCCAGACTGACCGGAGGACCCTACCCCGACTGGGAGCCTCCCGGTTGGACCGTCCAGTGGACCTAACCGGTAGGCTTCCGGTTCGCTTCAGCGCATTTTGCCTTTGGAGGGAGGGGGGGGGGGGGGGGGGGGGGAAAGTGGTTGGGCGGGCTCCCACAGCCTTGCGTAGGCCCCCACTCTAAATTTAAAATAACAGGGACAGTGGACCCGGAATTCCAAGAGAAACGGCGCGGCTGATCTTGGCCGCTGATCTTCCCAGGTCGGCGGCCAGGATCACTCGCCTCTTTGCATTTGCAATGCGGTGTCCCTCATGCTGCACTGCGGACCCTTGCAAGACCTCCTCCGCCGTCAGTCCGACCTCCCCAGTCCCATGTTTGCTTCGTGATTCGAGCATGCTGCTCCAGGCATGCTCCCACGTGCCAAGCTGCACCATTGCCCGCATGCTGCTGCGGGTGTGCTCCCACGCGCCAAGATACACCATTGCCCGCATGCTGCTGCAGGCGTGCTCACACATGCCAAGCTGCACCATCGCGCGCATGCTGCTGCAGGCGACGCCCTAAGCCAGCCTTCACCCCAAAGACCGCCGAACAACCCACCACTGCGGGAGGAAGAGTAAATTTGTAGCTATTCTTCTTCTTCTTCTTCTTTTTCTTCTTCTTCTCCGTCTTCAACCTCTTCTTCTTCTTCTTCTCCTTCTTCAATCTCTTCTTCTTCTTACTCTTCCTCCTCTTGTTGTTGTATTTCCCGTCTATTTGATTTTTTACTTGTCGTTCCCTGCCGTTCGAAGGGCCCCCATCGCCCTCACTCCTCTTCAGCCCACCTCCCCCCCCCCAATCCTCCATCCTCACCCATCGCTCTACCTCCTCACCATCTTCTTCCTCCTTTCCTCTTCTTCTGCTTGTTCTTGTTCTTGTTCTTGTTCTTGTTCTTCATCTCGGTCAACCGTAGATCCAACCTGCAAGATGACCATGGCATTGCACCGGCTGTTGCAGGGATCCATGCAGGCCTAAATAAATAACAAATAAAAAGCACCACGCACCAGGCACACTGCACGGCTGCACATGCAATGTGCACATCCGTATGTGCAGCCTGCACAGCGCACACATCCAGAATGGTCGCACACTGCATCGTGCACCGCTGCACCGCAAGTATGCTAAATAGGTAACCATATACAACAGCACTCATGCCGTACAGACAGACCAACAAGTCGACATTCGGTTATTTTCAACTCACGATGTGTTCTTCCACGGTGAAAGGAACTGACCTGTGTCAAAACACCCATTGCGCGGGAAACGCCAAAGAGCACCGTGTAGAAACTGCAGGATTCAATCATCAAAAAAAGAAACAAATTATCAGTGTGAGAACTGACCCTCCGGTCCTTCCGGACATCCACTTAAATTGGAACCATACACAGAAGATTAGCATGACACACTTTGGAAAAAAAGAAAGAAAAGAACTGGCCCTCCTATACATCTTATGCTCTCTCTCTCTCTCTCTCTCTCTCTCTCTCTCTCTCCCCCCCCCCCCCCCTACCTCTTACAAACACGCATGCACGCAGACACACACACACACATGCACACACACACACACACACACACACACACACACACACACACACCTTACATTATCTCTAACGCTGGCTGGTGAAATCAATCATTCAGTCTTCTGTTTATCATTCAGTCTTCTGTTTGAAGGTGCACCTTACCAAAATTTAGTCAAATATTCATCGTACAGCCGGAAGATTGAACTTAAATCACCTCTCAATTATTGTAACACATAGGGTCAATGCAAGAGCCATCCATTTTCCAAACCGTCTGTGTTGCCTGGTTGGCTAGATACCCTGTATAGGCACGTTGGCAAGGAATGGGACACGACACTTGGCCCATTGGCTATATGCTTTGCGATGCTGCCCCATGCCTTTGTCAAATAAACTTGCACAACTTCTAGCAGACGCATTGGAGCAATTGAGGACATTGAGGTGATGGAGACGACCAAAGCAACTGGAGGGAACACCGCAGGCCTTGAAAAGCAGACTCACTGGTGAAGGCAGCGCTACGAAGACACGAGACATCTGAAATTACTAACACGGACGTCCGTAGCGCCAGTGCGGTACAGCGCATCAAACAAGGTTTCAGTCTGACAATGTCTGCTTGCAGGTGATGTATATAGATGGTTGCATCCATTACCAGGTCCCATTACTCATCAGGACCACAGTACCAGCAGACATTCACAACATGCCCATTAAATACTTCAATGGTCATGAATGTCTTGGAGTTTGCAGTCAGTCAGTTTGCGGCCATTCTCAGAGCATACTCACACTAGCACTTTCCTGGATGAATATTGAGTATTATTGACGCAATTACGCCTCTCGTACTAACGAAACTTACAGTAGTTACCGCCAAAGCTAAGTAGAAAAAGTCCTAGTGTAAATACACCCTCGATTCAGATCAATTGCATACAGACAGCACTCTCGCAACAAGGTTTCCATAGGTGAGCCCGCAGATGGATCATTGGAAAAGGGGGGGAAGGGGGACGAGGTTCTTTTAAAAACAGAATAGAACTGGCGCCTAGGATCACCTCTCTCTCTCTCTCTCTCTCTCTCTCTCTCTCACACACACACACACACACACACACACACACACACACACACACACACGCACACACACAGGCTCGCGCATAGCACTTCTCATGCAACAGAAAAATGAATGCCACCGCGGCCAGCCGACTCGAAACTTGGGGGCGGGCCCGTTTCCAAGTGCATTCACACTGAAATTTACACTGGTGCTCTTTTCTTTAATGGTACTATAATACCTATTTATAGTATGACAGAAGTGCGCAGCAAGCGCACAGAAATGAGTGTGTTCTTGTGTGCTTTATTTATTATTCATGTAATTTTCATCAAGCTAGTCGCAGATTGGGCAACGTTAATCAAGCAGGTGACTGGTACAAAGACAGACCGACAAAGGTGCTGCCAAACAGGACAGCACAACTTACTTCTCTTCTGTCAGTCCATAGTGCTGCAGCAGCACCCCGCTGTGAGCATCAACATTCGGCCAAGGATTATTGACCTGCACACATAACGCAGATACGATCACATCCAGTGACCAAGAAACAAACAAACAGAACAAAGTTCAGAAAAGTTTCAAAATGCGACCCATCCATGACAGCTGCATCCCGCTTATCCACTTGTGCCTTGTGCCCATTCATCCGCCCTTCGGTCAGACTGCTACAGCCATCATTTGCGCTTCCCTTTGTGCTTTACCAAAAGCATGGCACAGTTCAGATCGAGGCTAGCCGAACTTCTGGCAGGTTACATTGCAGCCGACATTACTTACAGTCTGCAGTCTCACCACTACTCACAGTCTGCAGTCTCAATATAATTGCAGTGCTACGTTTTTCGAAAATTTCAGAAAAGATAATGAACCACACTGTAACGAATTCTGCGCGCACAATTCCCAAGATTACTTGGCGGTTCGTCACGTTTTCTGCTGGATATGCGATTGCCCAACGGAAAGATAAGACGGCCCTCAAGGTACAAAACTAGAAAGAGCAGCCCTGGAATCGAGATCTGAGGCAAATAGTCTGCACGCCCTTTCAGCAAAATATCTGCAGTGAGTTTAATTTTCAGATTCTGTGTGCTTCCATATTTTTACTGTAGCGGCAACCAGAGACGAATGCAGCAGTGTCCCAAAACACATGAGCCAACGAGAGACGAGCAGGTTACCCCGAAGAATGAAAGACAGTCGAAAAGACAGACGAGTTACAAAGAGCCGAGCATATTAATTTGTCATATCCCCACAACTCTCACGGCATCAACAGGGGAAAGACAAACTCTGGGCGGACAGAATAGTTCCCATTCGGAAAGGTAGGGGGAATCAAAATGAAACTTTAACAAAGGACTTTACAAAAGCAAATTCCGCACTATTTCCAAGGTTCCACAAAGCGAAACGGGTCCAAAGACTGCTAATCACCTTCCCTGTCTTCAATAGGACGTCTGGAACCACCTCATAGACATTGGAGACCTGCAGAAGTGACACCACAGCAGGCAGCAAGGTCAAACACAAGTACATGTACGCATGCACACATGGACACACAAACACACACGCATTAAAACGCCATTTCAACTTCCAATTGAGAGTCTGTGAGACTGATAAACCGGTCCGTCACAGCCTTAAAAGTTAAAACTTAAAACGCCATTTCATCTTCCGATTGTTGTACATCTTGTCCTCGTGTGTCCAGCCTAACCGGCAACAACTTGCCTGAGGACCAAATATCCCTTGCCTTTCATGGCCGCCACTAGTTTCTCCTGAAGAAACATTTCTCGTATAAAGGCATAGAAGTTCCTGTTTGCCTCACTCCTAACACCCAACTTGGAACCTCAGAACCAACACAATGCTACACAATGCTACAAGCTACAAGAGCTCGGAAACATCATGAAACTTTATGAAAAAGGGCAGTAAAGAACAGAAGGCCAACATCAAGACAGCATTGATAGATACCCAGGACGGCAAGGCTCGGCAAGGCCAAACACACATACCAGTTTGACCATTGGATTGTCAGAAAGGTGCTTCAGGGCAAACTCCCGCTGGCAAGTGTAACGTGGATCTGTCTTCCTCAGAACTGCATGGCCAAACCCTGGAACAACCTGCATCAAAAAAAAAAAAAAAAAAAAAAAAACGATCGATCACGGATTCAGAAACACCAAAAAAGTATTAATCTGCACTGTCACCAGTCTCAGAAAGAAAACAGATGCAAGGTCATCCTAATAATCAAACTAGATTTAAACCAACATACAGCATGATACCGGACATTGTTGTGTCGACTCTGTTGAGGATTGTGTCGAGGGTTGTGCCGTCGGTCATGTCGAGGGTGGAAAAAAGATGTACACACGGCTTGCAATGCAAGGTCCTTGGGGTGATGAGAACTCCAAAAGCAAAGCTGTATACAGGTCCCTTAGCCCCAGATCCATGGGTCTATAGATAGGAAGACAGGTCTTTCCTCGATCCTTCAAATGACATCCAGGAGGCCGTTGCCTGCGCATGCCTCTGCCGAGCGCGATACAGTCACTAAATAAGGACCCGGATTGTTTTGTCCATGAGCATCAACGATCGACAGCTACAGGAACTCTACGTCATTCTCTGCAATCGCCACAACACCCACCTTTCCAGCCTTGAGGGTATCCTGCACGAACTGTTGCAGCTCGTCTTTGCTTGCACCCACCCCAATCTCATCAACAACATGACGAAGCCACCTTAGACATTCCTGCACAAACATTAGAACAAGCACACACAAACGATCAGATTGTCACAAGATATCAACGAAAAGCAGCAATGCTCACAGATGAGCACTGTGCAGCAACAACCCAAGTTCCCAAACCCATTTTAACACTCCTGAAGAGCTGCAGACTGAAACGAGCAGAACCAGATCACCACATTGGCGTGCACTTGACTATGGATGGTGCAATACCTAGGTAATTCTCCCATGTCTATCCTTGTCCTTTTATCTCCCCTTGCCTGCATTCACCTCCAACACAACTGCTCAAGAGCTAAGCCACACAAGGCCAAATGTAGACACAACGGCCGCCGCATGGTAGGCTTGCACCTTTGCAGAGAGTCTGAGAGAGATCATTGTGGAAAACGAAAGCCAAGCCAGTGAAGACAAACCCAAACCCTTCAGCAAATTGAAAATACCAAGCACCAGTTTCAAACCCCGCTTGCTGTCATCGGTCCAAATGACCAAGTAACCTCAAACACACACTCAGTGCCCACCATTGCAAATTGATCCTTACTTCTTGTCAATGGCTGGCAGTAGTCATTGCCAACAGTGTGCATAAACAGCTTGCTCATCCTTTACATTTTGTTGCCATTCTAGCATCAACTGTGCATGAGCGTCAATTCTTTTTCTCTTCTCACAGATTCAACACACAAGTCCTACCAAAGTTTCTTCCCACCATGCCTGAAGAAGAGATGACAGCTGGAAAGGTAGGGTGAGAGAAGAAAACCTGGTTGGCCAGCCCATGTAGTGGTCCAGCAAGACCATTCATTCCCGCCGCAAATGAGAGGTAAGGGTCCGACAATGCACTTCCCACCTGCGAGAAACAATTCAACATGGTTGAAATCGTCAGTCACCTTCACAAGATTTCACTGCACCCCAAGTTCCACACAAAAGCACATCAGTGCAGGACATTAACTCATCACGTATCCACATTAACACACACACACACACACACACACACACGGAGAGAGAGAGAGAGAGAGAGAGAGAGAGAGAGAGAGAGAGAGAGAGAGAGAGAGAGAGAGAGAGA